TACAACTTGTAGGCAAAATGAATACTTTTAATTTCTGTGCCTGGGACGGCCCCAAGCCCCACGACAATGTTGATGGATGATGTTTTAATGCTACTGAATGTTATTTTTACTGAGCAGGAAAAACTATAAATTCTGACTTCATTGCCAATGATTGTGGCCTATGCAGAAAAGTGCATATGAATAATAGCCTTTTGCAGCAGATGTTACTCTGCAGAAACCAATTCCTCGAATAAGATTTGCCCAAGATTAATTATCTACAGCTGTTCCATGGCCCGGTGCAATCTTAATACATTTATGATAAGTTTAAAAGCTCACTGGAGGCAGCGGAGCTTCCCCAGTGCGGCTGCTGATAGAAAAGAATGCTTTATTCCTACATCTGGATTCATATCCTCCATCAAACTCATCATTAGCTTTTATGCAAGACATCGCAGAGGCCAGCCGTTATTACCGCTAAGACACAACAGCAGCATATCCCCCTCCTTTATCCTCTCTTTGCGCCTCATCATGCCTATATTTTCATCTTTCACCTTTTTTGAGAGACTGAATTATTCAGATTTGTGCAAATGGCTTGTTTTCATTTTTCTCGCCTGGAAGTGGAAATTGAAAGTGACCTGGCGTGACCCCCATCTATTACTCAAGCTAAATTGCGGTGAATGTGCAGTGTGGATGGGAGTAATTGCGCAGGGCCAACTGGTGGGGCTTTGTTAACTGAGGAGCCGTGACCCTGGCATATACGCGGCATCTGCACTAGTTTGAGAGAATGGTCATGTTACGACCCACACTCCAGCTTTAATACAGACACATTTAAATATTCTGCACAGAACAAAAGCAATCATGTTCTCGGCCCACAGCGGGTCAGGGGTGGGAGCTCAACAGGCCAGTTGTTTAAGGTGAGTTTTAATGTCATCAGGTTCCTGACACTGGTGAGAGGACACAGATTGTGGAAAGGTTTCATTTGCTGCCCATTTAACACACTGAGGCAGAGCTATCCACCCCATTGTTTGCCTTTCATCCAATCGCACACACAGCTCTGGGGCTTTTCCACACACATACTTGTGCTTCATGTCAATTTCTATTATTTATGACACACGTCTAGATAGAAACTGTGAAAAGATGAGACACACAACTATCGCTGTGAATTTGCTGTACTTTTCCCCTCGTCTGTATAGATTTATCACTGTCAATGTTGGAATTTTTAGTGTTTTTTGCTTGATGAGTTGAATTATTTTTTATTTGACATCTAATTTCATGTCTCTTTGAAAAGAGTCTTTGAGTGTCTAAAAATAGCTATATATGTAGGTTCATACTCAAGGCAACTCAAAGTGCTGAACAAAAATAGAATCAACAAGGTATTAAAATCATAAATTATCACTGTACATTAAAAAAGTGACGATATAAAAGATAGAAATAATGGACGCATAGTGGATAGAAATTGTGAAAAGATGAGACAAAACTATCGCTGTGAATTTGAAGATTCAACAACAAATATAAGTACGACAGAAGTGCATCAGATCAGATGTTTTTTGCCACTCCTGATTTTGTAAAAGAGTGGACCAGAACCTCCAACATTCTGATCACAGATGCATCAGATCATTCATCCATTCTCTTCCACAGATGCAGCTCTCAGAGACTCCGGCTCATCTGGGGGACTCGTGTTCCTGTAGAACATCTGAAACACTCCCTGTGCCCTGGGTCTCCCCCTGGGACAGGTTTGCAAGAGATGCCACTTCTGCTGATGAGGAGGAGCAGTGGCTCTACTCCGGGCTCCTCTTGGAAGTGCTTAATGAGCAATCTCTTACTTTCATCTCATATTAGCTCATTACTCGCAGTGAAACAGTCGTAAAAGCAACATTTTGTTCAAAGAAAGACATTTGCAGGGATTGTGATGAGAGCGGTAAATAACCACCTTTACCTCACTACGTCTGTGACACTGAACGTGACATAATACTCGGTAATAAAACAAAGGCCTCTCTTCCTAAATGTACATGATTTATGTGGCCCATATAAAATACATTCAGAGTCATAAATATGCAACAACATGAAAACATCAGCTGCATATAGTCTATTTGTTCTGCTGCGACTTAATTATCACTTGGCTCTTTGCTCATTAAGAATCCTGGCTTAATGAACTGTGGGGCCCTGCTTTATTCTTTGGATTTACAAAGTAAATAAATGCAACAGTTATGGAAGTAATAAAGGTGTATTCTAATGACATCGCTAACACCACCTCTTGTAGAAGGAGAATGTTGCTTATTGAATCCATGCATGAGAGTTTGAGAATGCACAAACTAGGTGTGATCAGGACAAAACACACAAACATAGCTCTATACGGGTATTAAATAAATCTGAGAATATTGAGCTCCTTCACTACAGTTTGTGGAGGTAAAAATAGAATCCTTTTTTGTAATAATAATAATAATAATAATAATAATAATAATAAAATACATCTTTATTCCAGACTCAAGGTCCATACCCATTCATATTTTACTTTTCTTATGCATGTCACCAATGTTGCCAGGTCAGAGTTGCATATGCATTTCATTTTAAAATATAACATATTTTCTACAAAAAAAGCAAGAACTAAAATATTGTAAAAACGGAAGTTAAAATATTTCTTTCTATCCAAACTGTAATAATAGCTGAGAGGATGAAGTATGCTGCCTCTTTGCGTGTAGCACATGGTTGATATAAGACATGTATCGAGAAGGCCACTAGAATTTAAATTGGGCCATTTGCCTGCGCTCTTTAGTTATTAATATTCATGATCAATTACAAGCAGCACGTGTGACGCCAGCTCCACTATGTTTTATGATGGTTATTAATGGCATCCTAAGCACTCATAATGACACGCCTTACGTCTGAACTCTTAATGATCAACAGTCATAATTTTCACAGTATTGGCTTGTTAATATCCTGGATGTAGATAAAAAGTAATATTAATGTAAGGCCAACATAAAGACAGAGCCATAATTTAAGATCTGTCATCGTTAGTCTTACGGCTGATAAGGCTTTATTTTCATTTCACTATAGCCATTAATTTTCTCAATGCTGACTAATCAATGCAATATTTAACACAATGCTGTGTGGTATCTGTTATGGATTACCTTCCATTAATGTCTTATTGACCATAAAACATGTTTATTTCATTATAATAACCAATAGAATCATTGTTTGCTTAGCTGGATTTTATGCTTTTTCAAATTAAAAAAAGTCAGCCTTATTCCTGCAGTTAGAAAATGTGTAAAGACACAAGTAGAACAATGATCATCAATAGAAACATTCTGCTGCAGAAGTTCATACAAAGTGCTGACTTTTCCTCCAATAACAGTGTGAGGCAGGTCGGCCGTGAGCGGGTTGGAGTGCAGTTAAAATAATCAAAAACACAAAGAGGTCGCCGTGGTCCACATATTTTACTGATTTTTTTGGCTTTTCAATAAAAATACAAACAAAAGTGCACACAGGCAATAAAGTGCAGGAGTGCCAATGGAGTGCTTCCTCTCCAGCAGCAGCGCCCAGACTGATGTTTCCCAGGTCCTTTTATTTGGTGCCGACTGCTGGGTAAAACCAAGTTGTAAAAGCAGGGGTGTTAAAATATGCTTAGCTTTAGTAAAACAACTTAAAACTCCATTTACAAAACCCAACCCATAACTCATCTAAAATACCCAGATACCATTTATACTAAAAGCCCTAAAACCAACACCAAGTAATATTAAACATTTTAACTATTAAAATACCCCCTCCAACTCCCCCATACAAAATCCATGTGGTCCTGTGGCCCGGAACCATAAAAGGGGGAGCTCGTTCCTGGTGGGACCCTTTTGCCTACCGGACACAGAAAAAGTAAGTACACACCACACACCCCACATATACATCTTCACCAAACCCATTTAAAATACACCAACACACACACACTTAAAACACTCTTCAACAGATATTGCACCTATCGCACATAATTTAGGGATTGGCTAAAATAAATGACTGTTTTCCTTTTTCCTCCAGGGTCCAGCTGCAGCCAATTACCTGCCAGCACCTCTGGATAAAAACATGGTAAAAAGGAAAGACCTGTTTAATAAATATTTTAAAACCAACTCTGTGCAATGTTCTTTTTGATGTGCAAATATGCTTAAAGTGCTGTGTGCTATAAAGGTGACTTGTGTATTTAAAGGGGCTCAGTGAAGGTGCACTAAGTAACAAAGTCAGTTTGTTACATTTCCCCCCTCCTCTCGAAGGCAAAGCCTATTCTTCTTCACGTCTAGACAGGAAATCAGCTACAATGTTTGTCTTGCCTGGCCTGTATTGGACCGTGAAGTTATAGGGTTGGAGGGCCAGGTACCATCCAGCGATGCGGGTATTTGCCTCTCTCATGCGGTGTAGCCACTGAAGTGCCCGGTGATCTGTTTCCAGGATGAAGTGCCTTCCAAGCAGGTAGTAGCGCAGGGAGTCAATCGCCCACTTCATCGCCAAACATTCCTTCTCCACTGCCGAGTAGCGAGTCTCCCGGTCCAGCAGCCGCCGACTCAGGAAGACAACAGGCCTTCGTTCCCCATCCTTCTCCTGGAGGAGGACTGCTCCTAGTCCCACCCCAGAAGCATCTGTTTGGAGGACAAAAGGCTTATCAAAATTAGGGCTTTGGAGGACTGGACGGGTGCAAATAGCCTCCTTAACTTTTTCATAGTCCTCTGTGTCAATCATGTCCATCAAAACATAGGCTCTTCGGGCTTTGCCTGTTAGTAGTGGTACCAGGCGTAGAGCCCACTCTTCCTCTGGCCATCGGCACAACTGGGCCATTCTCTCAAACGTTGTGAGGAAGTGTTCAATGTCATCTTCAGGACCAAGTGGGAGAAGTTTTGGTTCCCGGTATGGTCTGTGGGGGTAACGAGGTATGTCGTCATCATCTTCATTTGATTGTGCCTCCAAGGTTCTTTGCCTTGTGTCCATCTCGACTTGAACAGACCGCGAGGTCGGTTCTGGATGTGCAGAACACTCTGTCTGCATCCGCATTAGCTGCTGCTGAAGTTCCTGGACTTGATCCTGCATAGCGTTCCAGCGTTGCTCCTGCCGGACACAGAAAAAGTAAGTACACACCACACACCCCACATATACATCTTCACCAAACCCATTTAAAATACACCAACACACACACACTTAAAACACTCTTCAACAGATATTGCACCTATCGCACATAATTTAGGGATTGGCTAAAATAAATGACTGTTTTCCTTTTTCCTCCAGGGTCCAGCTGCAGCCAATTACCTGCCAGCACCTCTGGATAAAAACATGGTAAAAAGGAAAGACCTGTTTAATAAATATTTTAAAACCAACTCTGTGCAATGTTCTTTTTGATGTGCAAATATGCTTAAAGTGCTGTGTGCTATAAAGGTGACTTGTGTATTTAAAGTGGCTCAGTGAAGGTGCACTAAGTAACAAAGTCAGTTTGTTACAAACAGTGAAGTGGAATTCGCTGATAGATGAGCCTTCTGATGAGACATTACAAGTGAAAGGTTTCACCAAACAAGAAAACATACAAATTATTAAAAAAGGAGGGGTTACCCTGTGCTCCCAGGAGGACAGTAAATAACCTTTTGATACAATGATAGCGTTTTCCAACTGCAATTTGAAGTCTATTGACTGGAGAAAGTGTCTTTTCACATCAGCGGAAATTGTCTTACATTGCAGATGAGATCTGATGCCTGACACCGGATTCAAGGGCCACGCAGAGCAAATATCACATTAGCTGCTCAGGGGCTGAAGATGATATCAGCTCTGAACAAACATAAGCACCTATCATCCATCTTATCCACGGAGGACAAGCCCACAACAGCCCGGTCACACTGATTATCCTGGGTCCACACTTGAGAGCCCTGCGACCGAGACACATCAGGACCTTACAGAATAGAAATTATTGTTTGAGGGTTACAACCAGTCACATCTTAATCAAATGTGAAAGGCAACATTATTCTCTCCAATATCTACTATTGCGTGATTTTTGTTCAATAACTTTTTGACTTTGTTTTGCAGTGGAGGGTTGTAATATACAAGTGAACAAGTAAAGTAAGTGCTCCATGTGAGAGTATGCATTGTTAATATCCTGTTGTCTCTACTTCTATCCATCATCTCTGCAACAACACTGAGCTGGAGGATGACTCATGTGTATTGACAGTAGCCATTTGTAAATCACACACAGTTTGGGGTCAAGATGCTGCTATTCCATAATGTGCTGGTTCACTTTATATAAGAGGAAGATAATGCGATAGAACTTTTCTAAACTGCTAACCTTATATCACAGGCCCATCGCTCTTTCACCTGTCCAAATCACTCTTATTGTTTTTGTGCAGGTCTGCTCCACCTGCAGGGCCCTGTCCTCTTATTCACTGTCTCCTGCCATCAGATCTTTCCAATCTCACCATCAGGAAAGTCACAGCTCTTTGTACAAGTGCCTCAAGTAATTGAATTTGCTGCAGAAATAGCGGCCTGGAAAATTTCATTTTCGCTGCCCGGGTGTGTGTGTGTGTGTGTGTTAGGCACAGCTGTCTGCCTCTCCCAAACTATAATCCCCACCACATACACCAGTTTGCACTGCACTGTCGACTCTGTCCTTCTTCATCTGCACGATTCTCCTCTCCTCAGCGCGGCCATCAGCACTGTCCCTGGACCCATTACTCCATCTGTCTCTCATCCCGACTCAGGCCAGTGGAACACAGCTGACTGCTGCTAATGTCTGTCAGAACAGGACAGAGAAGGGCAGCGGGAGGGGCACTTGTCACTGTGACAATTTTCCTCTAAATACCTTCCACAAATAATGGTTTTCAGAATGAGCATTAACAGGGTTGATTACATGAAATGGCCCTTTTAATTTACGGCGGGATTCTATTGATCACAGGAGTGCAGATTAAAGCGTTCAATGAAGCCCGTGATGAGGTATTAACCAGCTCAGGGCCCCCAGGGGTCCACAGGGATCGGGAGGCTGGGTCCTGGCTCTGCTGTGTACAGTTATTCCCTCTGTAATGAAGTGCCTCTATGCAGCGGCATGGAGCTCCGGCAGGAAAAATAGATTGAAGATGATGAGCTCTTCAAAGTCATTTCTTGCTCTCTCATTCCAGCTCATGCACGGATCTCCTGGACCACCACCCTCGTTCCCTAAAATGCCATGGATTTACTTTGCCGGCCTGGACCGATCCCATTTTTATGACCTTATTGCTTTTTTACCATGGTAATAGTTTTGAATCAATTTATCAATCTGCAGGAACCATCAGGCATGTTGCCCTCAAAGATCAAGTCCAGGTCATTCTATCATTGAACTGAGGTGCACTCAGATGGAAAGACAGCAGCAGAGGGAGGAGGGCCGTGTACAAACCCATCACAGTTTAGCCCACAGTGCGCCGCTTCAGAGCTGCTCTAACATTACCAGACTGAATAAGCACTACTAATCACATCTAACCTGTTTTAATACATTGACATAAGCCGATAAAAATGTGCATTCAATTTTGTTCAACATTTTCTTGATTGATTTCAGGATTAGCTCATTCTCAAATCAATAAGAAATTGATAAGGACAATTTATTCCGCAGATGAATATGTTTAACTGACCGTTACTGCTTTACTGTCCTTTGTTTGGCTTCAGCAAATGTCAATTAATGTTCCATATCCCTTGTGTTATTGGTACTGAGAGCTCTTATTCAATTAGGTTGAATTATCTGGATCTCTGTCTATGCTAACACAGATAATGGCAATACCTCTGGTTTCTCATCTGCCCTGCTTTTGTAGACACATGTCTGAAATACAGTATAAAAACATTTCGTTTTTTTATTCAGATCAACCAATGACAACTAGAAATCTCACCTGATGAACCTCTTTCTCCATTGCACATTATCTTCTAAAATATTGGGCATGCATTTGTTCAATTTGTTCAATTTGTCCTTTCTTTTGTCAGGGGTTCAACTGACAGACACTCCAGAAAATGTTTTGTTGTATATTGAGAACATTCAGAAAATAGGTTTAAGCACATACAGTAGTATTACCACGTGTGACATCATAATAAAAATGAGGAATTGCTTCTAAAGGCACCACAGAGACTCTATATTTAGTATCCAGTGAAACATGCCATGCTCAGTCTTCTTGGCCTTTAGCTCCAGGACAAAGGGCCCATAGATCTCCTCAAGCCCCGGCACACAACACAACACAACACAACACAACACAACACAGCCTAATCACCCTCTTTATGGGTCTTTGAATTTCTAATGAATAACACAAAGCAGCAAAATAAACACATTGGTATTGATCAAGACATTCCGGTTTGCAATAATGCAATAAGTGGGTTAGGGCTTAGACACACACATGTGCACAAACGCACACACACACGTGCACAAACGCACACACACACGTGCACACACGCACGCACACACACACACATACACACAGCTCCGAGGACTGAGGTAGAAGTATTTGAATAAAATGCTTTTTATGTGTATTGAGGGAAGCACTTCAACAAAACCACTTTGTATCTGCTTTTCGGCATTGGTTAGACTTAGAGTGTACTTGAATAAAAAAGTCATGGGAAGTTTTCACCATGAAAACAATACCAGAAGTATGGAGAGAACTGTATCAGTGCTATGGCTGTTGTAAACACCTGGACGAAAAAGCAGATCTGAGGGCTATAAAATGTGTTTCTATCAGGAACACCATAACCCTGGAACTGTTCATTCACTGTCTCTGCCCAGAAAAATGTCTACATAGACTCTGCAGACATCCCAGGTGCACAAAAGCATGAAACCTATACAGTACTGTACGTAACTACTGTGGAAGTGTCCAGCTCCATCTCCCTCCATTTCTCCCTGTGGTCGGACATCTAGGTGTATTCTTCAAGACCATCTCCTGTGTCTCCCTCACTTCTAGATCAGGGATCTAAACATTTCTCCACATCATCTACACACATGTAGGGGGAAAATTGTTTCTGTTTTGCAGCACCATTTGCATGGAATCTGCTGCAAACAAAACTTGGACTCAAGGAACTGACTTCCCTGTACTCTAAGAGACGGCTGATCGGCTAATCTTTCAGGCTAATATTTTGTTAGCAGTGCGTTGCTTTTGGACCATTACATCAGTGATTTTTGTACGGCTTAAGTTGAGCTAATGCAAATGTTAGCATCAGATCGCAAATACAACAAGATGGCTCCGTGGAATGAGAGCGTAGGGGAAATGAGAAGCCTGTGAGCGAGTTGGGGGGTGGTGCTAAACATTCAAACCTTGCAGAAACGGGTATAGCTCCTTTAAAGAAAAGGTTAAAAAATAAATAGAAAATAGCATCAAAAGTGAGCTGCAGAATCTTTAATCGGTTAAAGCTGCACTAACTGACTTTGTGAGATTTTTGAATGTGAGCGCTGGCCTCGCTCTTTCTGCTCGCCTTCCCTGCACTCATGGAGCTTTCGCCCTCCACTACCCCCCTCCCCCTCAGCCTGTGCTCTGTGCTAATTGTATACGGAGCTCACGTCCCACAATATGGATCGCACATTTAAACGTGGATGGCGTGACCATAGAATGATTGAACCGGGTAGCACGGAGAGGACGAGACTTTTTTTTGGATGGCTATTTCGCTGTGTAAGCAGTAACTGGTAACGAAGACACGGGAAGTTTCAGGTTAGCCTCCGCTGCTTGTTTACCTCAGCTGTCTGTGCTAACAAGAGACCTGTAGCTTTTCTCAAGAAAGTGGGGGCCAGTGGTCCACTGTGATTGGTCACAATCTGGTCCCGAAACGAATTCTCTTCCTTGTTTTACGAAAACTCGATCTAAAATAAAATGGCACGCCAGCACAAATCTGCGGTACTATTTCTTTAAAAGGATGTATGTCCCAGTGCACTGCATGGATATGGATTGAATTTTCGTAATGAATACAAAAATAAAGTGAGATAATGCAGCTTTAAATAGTGTTCAAGCAGCAGAGCAGCATTTTTTTGTTTTAAATTTTGCTCCCATTTACTCATACAAAGTTTGATTAGCACCTACTGTAAGGTGAATCGGTTGTTCAACACTTGGATCTAGGTCAGCTGAAAGTGAAAAACATAAAATGGCAGTGTTAGCGCGCCCTACAGAGGGATTTAATGAATATTATATATGCTTTGCACATTTAACAAACCAGCCTCGTTGTTTGACTAAGAGAGCTCAAAATCGCTCCACATCATCTAAACAAGTGTAGAATCAAAAGCTTCAGGTTTGTGATTGGTTGAACAGTGTAAATGGTGTGCTCCCAGCAGACTCCAATGTTTGGCTTATTTCAATAGACACGCATGAAAGTTCCCATGATATTGGATGGAGACACACACTCACTGATCATAGACATGTACAGTATTACTGTTTTCTCCCATCAGGGCTGTGTGAGGATGGGGTGTCAATGCTCCCTCGTTTGAGTGTTGTGATGAGGGCCGTTAGATGCCGCTTGCTGCTTTTCTTCTTTAAATTCATCAGTTTTCAATACATTTGAACATTTGTATAACAAACTCATCTTGTTCGTATCCGCTCTAATCTGCACGTGTGTAGCATAGATTGTAAATATTTACGGACGTAGTGACGCCGGTTTCCTCTAACCAACTGTATCTATAATCAACATGGACCTTTTCAAAATGCCTGGTCGCCTCAAGAACGCATTGGATAATTCTGTAGCCAGTATGTCAGCGAGCGTGCTCATGGAACTTTTTGAGCCGGGAGCCGCCCCCACAGGTGTGTAGGCGGTTGTCATCTCCTTAAACACATACAACAGAGTGTCCGGGCAGCTAAGGACGTGGATTGGTCAGATGTCACTCACGTGTTCACCTCGGCCTCTGGAAGTAGCACAAACAGCAGACCTGCTGCGTCAGAGCCAGAACCAGAGGTCGCTGAACTGCGTCACTCTCATTAATATTTCGGCCTCCATGGTGAGACCATACACCAATGAGCAGAGGGCATTGATTTGAATGAGCATTGTTTTTTTAAGCAGTTGTTTTTGGGGCTTGACCAACTTTGAGGATGTGCCATTAAACACCGGCAGAAAATAATTGGTCCACCATCAGGCCCTGTTTTGATTTGGTTAGCTTTTCGTTAGCTTGATTCTGCTTTCCCCAGGGCGAGGGTTTTTTTCTTGATTGAGAGTCTGGCCATTTGGGTCTTTATTCTTTAGTGAAGGTGTTGGCCTCATATCAGGCGATATCAGGTGTGATGGGTTGGTACGGTGTCAAACTCTTTTGTTTATTTCAGCAGGCTCACCAGGTCCACATCTTACCCAAAACCCAAACCTGCTTCTTTCACCTCCGCACCATCTCAAAGATAAAAAAACATTCTCACTCCTCCCGATCTCCATAAAGTTGTCAACGCCCTCATCTTCTCCCGCCTCGACTACTGCAACTCCCTCCTCTCCAGTCTCGACTCCAAATCCCTCTCCCGCCTCCAACTGTTTCAGAACGCAGCAGCCAGACTTCTTACTGGTTTTAACAGAAGGGAGCACATCACCCCTGTCTTAGCGTCTCTCCACTGGCTCCCTGTGCGTTTTAGAATTGATTTTAAGATTTTACTGATTACTTTTAAAGCTCGTTTAGGTCTGGCACTCAGCTATATTTATGATGTATTGTTTATTATGCTGACTGTGCACTTTATAAACATTGTTTTTGAAAAGTGCTTTACAAATAAAGATTTATTATTATTATTATTATCT